CCGGAGAATATATATATAGATATGAAATTCATATTATATATTAGATATAATACGAAAAAAATCAGAATAAATATATAATAATTCATACGCATAATCATTTAAATATCCGCCCGAATAAAAAATAACGATAATTACTAATATATAAAATAGAAAAAGAAGAAAAATAGAATAATACGTATAATATTTTAAATTTTAACTAAATATAAAGAAATTATATCGTATTTTTTCTTTAAATTTCAATAAAAAATAAATATTCTTATTTCATGATTTCATATATTAAAATATCTAGTCACGCGAATAATATAAGAAAAATATTAATCAATAAAATTCATCAATTATTTTCGATATCTATGAGACATTTTTTGAGAAATAATATATTTCCATTTCTTTCTCGATAGTTATATTATAATCTTTTCATAACTAACGAATTTTTCAGATTTAATTCTCAAGAACATGAATAATATGTCATAAAACATATTGCAGAATTGAAAAACTGAAAATGTATCATAACCGTTGCCAGCTCTAACAACCTGGACATACTTCCTTCTACGACGGTCACGTTTTCCAACAATATCTGCTTCATATTGTGCCGGGCCAGATTCACGAGAAGGCGTGGCAAACAGCCTAGCAGGCAAAAGAACCAGGGTGCATGAAAAGTTAACACGGTTAGCTCAACCACACTCAAGCTGAGAGATGTTGAGACCAAGATTTGTGACAACATCATACCCGGCACTGTACGCAATATCCGCTGCTCTCTTAGCAGCTGCCACCATCACAGCATGCTTGAGGCTTGGGCATAACGTCAGCCGGAGTCCAGGTTGTAAGCGCGGGAGCCCCACCGCAGAGCAATGATGACTGCAGCAACTGTCAAAGGTGGGGGTGGGGATGGGGTGGGGTGGGGGGCGGCGGCTGGAGTGAGCAATGCAGCAGTTGGAGCGGTTGCTGTGAGACCTTTTTGCCGGCTGCCATTGGTGAACCGTCTTCGGCAGTTTCCAGCGTTGTGGCAGGTCAGGCTTGTGCCTCCGTCGCCAAATCCATCTGGAGGTTCACCTCGTGGCAGGAGCCATCTTACAATGTTCGTCAATGAACCCGGCTAGCTGCACAGGGCCACATTGTATCATTTCCAAGCAGAAAGAATGCAATGTAGTTCAGTACGGAGTAGGAGCCTCTGGTGATCAGGCACCTGCGAGTCGCTTCGCCTGCATTGCAATGCGACTCAACCATGAGAGAGACTCTGAACCATTGAACCATCGAAATCTTCAGGTCTGACACTAGACCAGCGAGCCTTTATCTTTGCTTGCAGCTTGTCTAGCATGAGCACGACCTGACACAAACACCGGTTTAAAAACTTTACACTTGAAAAACACCCTTCTTGTTTGACACCGGCCTCTTGCCAACTTTGGCCCTGTTCTTCGGGCTTGCCGTCCCGTTCGACCGTCTCATCTTGGTACGTCACCCCTCCCTGGGGATCTACCTGGCAGTTTCAAAAAGCCACTGAAGCTGCTCTGTGCCCTATTCTTTTTCTATATTTAGAGAGCAGGGTCGTGGATCCCCCCTTGGTGCGCAAGCACGTGCGTGGAAATGCTGCATAGGTAGCCTGATAGGCCGAATTGCAAGTAAACACTACGGCACGGGCCCTGGAGCCTGCAGCTTCGGTACACGCACCTTCTGCGCAGGCCTCGACTTGCAAATCTAGCAAGGCCAGAGCCATGATGCTCTGCGCAGGAGAAGCGATCTTTCGCTGAGTGGCAAGCTCTGATGTGGGAGGGGCGGTAGGGAAGGTGCTGGGCGGCTTAGGAGCTGCGGGCTCCTTGGCCTACGCAGTGGGCACTTGGAAATCTCCGTCGTAACTTCCTGCGGCTGAGTCAGGGACCCAGGTCGGAGGGCTAAATTGCTGAGGCTGGGCTGCCCTCAAGAGGATCAGGCATTGCAAAATGCTTCAGCTGATGGGTTTGTAGGTGTCCAAGAAATTCGTCCTGGAAAGCCTGAGTCGCTTGCGCGGGCATGGGCGGAGGCGATGGCGAGCTCGGTGGAAGAGGAGGAGGGTGTCGCACCTGATCGTATGGGTACCGTCTGATGCTTCCAAGTCTCGTACCCTATGCACCCTCAATCAGTTTGGGAACATGCAGACGGCATCTTTCCGCTCTGCGCTAACTAACTGACTGACGCCTCACAGCTGCATACTGGGCCAAGTGCAAAGAAAGGCAACTGACCCTCTATCTCGACCTGGGCTGAACAGGCACAACATGGAAGCACCGACATGCGAGCTTTGCGGAGCCCAAGAGCCAGACTCGACCACCTTGCTGCTCCGCAAGCGCTTCGCCTTGGGCTACTACCAGTAGAATTGTTGATAGCTTCGTAAACTTTGTAAATGCTTGTCGGTTTCCTCGCCAGTGGCTGAGCTGAGGCCGGAGCTTCCCTTGATCCCGATCAGCGCGTAGCCCTCCCTCTCTTTGCCACCAGGCACAGAAGCGCCGGCACCTGACTCTTTCGCAGGGTTTGGGTCACAGATGAGGCCATCGACCGCCAGAGGGCAACGCTCCAAAGGGCCGAGATTGCTCGGGCATCGAGATTTTCCATGCCTGAGTCCTGCCGTGTCTGAAACTGCATGCATAATGGCTTACGCATGCACAAGTGGCGACATTGCACAAGGCCGGCAAGAGCGAAGCGTTTCTGTTATACCGAATCTGTGAGCTTTGCCCGTTGATGGCTTTCCAGGTCTGTGCCAGTGGCAGCTCAGTGTTTGCAAAACTGACAGCTCCCAAAATAGCCCAAGTTTGCAAGGGAGAGTAGAACAAGACTATGCACCTTCCAAACGCTGATGATGCCAGAGGCAGGTTGGACAGCGATGCCGACAAGAATCCTTGAGATTCTTGCTGCGCCTGTACACGCTAGCTTCGGCCATTCAGGACATGTCCAATTGCCTTCAACTGGCTCTGTCCTCTGCACCCTCTTAAATTCTGGACTGCCCGGTGGCAGGCAATATCCCATTCTGAGTTTACTTCATCGACATGCTGTACTTTTATACTCTTTGTCCAAATGCATGGGATGAAGCCCTCGGGACATGTGCCATACGCCGTCACGCTGCCAAGATCAAGCCACCCACGCCTGACCTGTGAATAGCTATTGTCTCTTACTTGCGTTCTTGCCCCGATGCATGCTCTTGCGAATTCTCGCTGGGGCCGCGGCGTGCACCAGTGAAGCGTCGCAATGCAGACAAGCTCCATGCTCGGCTGCTTTTGGTTGGCTTCTCTGCCTCCTGCTTCTTGGCTGCCTTGAAGTCATGATGCGAAGCTCATTGGTGCGTTTCCGAATCCTCATCTCAACAGTAGCTTGAAGGGGCCTCGATGGCCCTCTCCTTCTGGGTCGCTGCATTTCGCTCAGCAAGCAGCTTACGCTGATATTTGAGGCGTTCGAGCAGCTCGCACCTCCGGATGCGTCCCTGCCGTTACTGTATGCATTGGCTCACTTCGACGCGACGTGCCTCAATTTCGAAGGCACCCCTGACTGCAGGGCCAGGAAGACCTGCATGGAGGCATGTGGACGTTTCTATGCTTCTAAAAGATGCTGAGGGAATGAGCATAGGCCTCTGGATGCCGGCGCATGCTCCTTCCATCATGATTCACGGACAAACGATACACTGCCGTGTATAAAGTCTGCATTAGCCTTTGTTCAGCCAAGACACTGCACATGATCCGATTCCACTTTGTGACCCAACTCGTCCACCAAATCGAAAATCCTGCACACTCTTTTGGGGTCTGGACGTCCGAGATCCTCTCTCCAAGTCTCCCCTCACTCGTCTGACATCTGGCTTCTCTGTGGATCCTCTCTTCCAAAGTCGAAAGCTAGGCCTTTACTTTCTTTTCGCGGCTTGCAATCTCGGCCAGGCTGCCTTTCTTGTGCTTTCATCGCCGAATGAATGATACAGCATGCTGCCTTTGGTTTGCAGGAAACACCAACCCTCTCTAGTTTGGACAGTCGTCTGCTGCTACTTAGTACTGCTACTTGTAGCATATTTGAAGCACCTGCCCCTGCCCGCATGCACCTGGCCTCCGCTCTCGCATCGCTTCAGAATGTGCTTCCTGATCGTTTGCCAGCAACCTTGTGCAAGTTTGCACGTCGCACAAGGTCATCATCAACATTCTGCAGGCTTTGCAATGATTAGGACAAAATGACGTGGTCCAGTGCTAGTTATCCTGCAGCATGCTGACGTGCTGGACTGGGGAGAACGAATGACAAATGCATTTGAAGCAAGGCACGATACTCGCTTCTTCGCCTTTTTCGGTGAGGACTTGGCAGAAGAATCATCCCAGGTCAGAGGATTCCAGGACAGCCACTTGGCATCACCGGTCCTTGCCGTCACAAGCGGAACACACTGCTGCCGGCTCCAGCTTCTACAGCGGTGCAAACGCATGTACATGCCTGCTCCCGAAAGCGCTGGTAACTTGGGGGAACATGATTCAGCTGTGTGTCGGGATGTACGGCTGACCATGGAGTTTGCAGCAAACCTCATGCAGCTTCTCCAGCGGCACCTCGGCTTAGAGGCGTGTTCGCCTGCTTAGATCGCTTTCACTTCCACTGTCCGATATCAGAGAGACGGATCCGAGCAATGCCTGAAGGAAGAGGAATCCTTGTGCTTCCTGAGAAGTTGTAGCTACTGCACATCAAGATTTCTTCGGACCTGACCTGAAGTCTCACCGCCCTCAAGGCCAGCTTCTAGTTCAGAGTTTATACGCTGCTTAACTTACCAAGCAATACCTTCCGACGTCTGGATATACAGAACTCACAAAGAAGGAGCTGTGTGGTCTTAAAATCATTCCACTTCCGTGTGCCGGATGCATCTGAGGCTCCCGTACTTGCCGGGAAGGTTCCCGATGTTGTCTCTCGTATGCACCTCTCTCATAAGCCTTCATCAAATTGTCATTCATGAACAACTTCTTCACCTCGCTGTTGCAAGCTTATCCACGTTGCGGTGTCGCACGCCCATGATCGCCCGTGCCATGAACAGCATCGTGCCAATTCTGAAACGGCACTGAGATCGCGCCGAAACGATCTAGCTCCTCTTCAAAGAACTTGTCATTACCTGTGATGGTTTCGCGATGTCACACACACACACCATGCCACCTGCAGGACATGCAGTGCAGCATGCCTTTCACAGCTGCCTTGGACTATGCCAAGGTGCTAAGCCGTTGTACAGGAATTCTCGCATGTTGCACATAATTCCTGAATGTGCAAGAGCTTAGCAAGCTATGAGTTCGAGCTGTTGACGACGGTCTCACGTGTCACCCATCCTCGCCAACCACAGGTTAATGGACTTCCTGAGGCGACTGCCATTCTTGTTCAAGCTCAGGCTCTACCTGCTGCATTTGGCGGTCTTGAGCGAACCAGTAGCCCTCGCTTGAATTCCCCGACATCCTCTTTGGGCTTGATCTTGCTATCTGCATGCCTTGATGGGGTTGCTGATGGCATATGCGTTGAACATCGCGTTCTCACAGGTGCTGGCACATCGGGGCTGCCGCCATTGCTGCGCTGGCACGGTGATCTCCAGTAAGACTCCACACGGAGCTGCGGAGGAGAGCTTAAGACATGCGGGAGGACCTTCTAAGCCTTGGTGACTCACGCTTGGCGTCTACTCTCCACCTGATCAGCAGCTTTGGCAGCGTGAAAGCAAGCCTCTACCCGGGCGCATGAAAAAAAGATGCCGGCAAACTGCTAAAATCTGGCATGTCAAACTCCTTGCATGCAACCAAGATCACGCGGCCATCCGGCATGCTATTGATGTCAGCGGCCTCTGCAGAAGCTGTGTGTCGCTTCGTGGTTGCTTCTGTCACAGCTGGGGATACAAAATCTTTTCGCTCATGACGTGTCACTGCAGCAGGTAGAGGTGCAGAGCATTCTTGCTGATAGCGTTTATGAGTACATCCGAACTCTGGAAAGGTTCGCTGAGAGCTTGGCTAGGCGAGTGTTCTCTGTCTGCGGATCCGCCCAGACATCGTATGTCTTGCGAGACATAACCTGTTGCACCGAGCAGATGGTATCATCTGAGCCGTCGGGCAGATTTGGTGCCTGCTGAGTGTCTGGGTCGATGGTCACAACGTTGAGGCCACGTCGGCCAGCCTAGCTATTGCACACTAGTTGTTTTTCCCCCCCCGCCCAGCTGACAAAGTGGCACCGCAGGGAATTCGTCATTAGCCCGGTGTGACACCTGGCCGTTATAGGTTCCACTCTGACGCGCCTCCCCGCGGATGTCAATTTTGCGACCGTTCAAGAAGAAGTCGGCAATGTTGCCGTCACCCCACCCAGCCTGATCGCGAAAGGAGAACTTAATTTTTGCTGATTCTTCTGGAAACGAACGTAAGTAAGAGCCGTGCACTAACGACTTTGGCAACTGTGGAGGTGACCTCTAGCTGCAGGAGCGGTTTTGCGCCCACACTTCAAATGCATGTCGCTCTCATCTTGCACAACAACTTCCAACGCGGATGTAGTCCAAAGATTCACGGCAACGGTTCCAGATTCAATCAGTGGTTGCGAGTCCCGCAGCTCTCTTCTTCCACGTGTGGGGCGTTTTCTTGTGCAGAGGGGGTTAAGGGCTAAGATGGGCTTAGGGTGAGCAGGTTGACGGGCTATTCCAGCAGCCCGGAATGGATCGGGATGGGCTCTGGCTTTGTCATTTCCCACCCCGCCGCCACAGGTGCAGTGCTGCTTTTCGCCTTGACATGTTTGTCCATGGCGTCCTACTCAGTTCCTGCAGCACGACTTCTTTTTGCCATTGGCTTAAATCCTTATGAGACTCAGGGAGTTTATCTCACGGGAGTCCGCCACCGCACGGACAGGTCTTTTGCTCTCTGGGACTGGACGCTCGAGCTGAAGAATCAGGCTGATTGCACCGCAAGCCGCGGAAACTATGCTTCCCCCTCCAGCACGTTAAAATGTGTGACACAAGACACGTGCAGCTGCCGAAGATCAACTCCTTGGGGAACATGTGGCATTGTTCAACTTGGTCGTCGCACAGGCTCCGCAGCCATCGCTGGAGACCTTATCTATGCGTATCGACCATACTCTATTTCTAGTTTCATGCTCGTCTGCAGAGCGATCTTATTGCTCCTTGGGGTTTTAACTAGAAGCTGAGGCTTGGTCGCAACTGGTGGGGATGGCGCTGCCGCTTTGCTGACAGCTGGAGCTGGGGGCCTCAGTCGCTGCCCTACGCAAATATCCCCTTGAAACTCGCTGTGACTGAGTCCAGAGCGCTGGGGCTGGCGGAGGTGCTACGGGTGGTGCTGGTGGAGGTGCTACAGGTGGCGGGGCAGGCGCCCTCAATGCACAAGTCGCCAGAGGCCGTGCTTCCACACTCAGTGTACCCCTACACTTTTGCATTTTGCACATGGTCCTCAGGCACTTGCACTGCTGGCGGTGCTGGTGCTGGGCTGACTGCAGCCGTTGGCCTGGGATGCCCAGAGCAGAGGGGCGATGAGCGAGTGGCTACTTGCTAGCTTCCTCTATCACTCGTGATCCTTTTTCAGGCGAGCTCTTGCTCCCAGGTCTCAGAATTCGCCGTGCTTGGGCAAGCTGCTAAAGGCAGCTTTGTTAGCGGCCTTTACCTCATCTCTCAGGGGCTCTGCGGCCGAAAGCTCCAGTTCTGAAGTTAAGGTCCAAGGTGCAGCAGCCTCGTGTGCTGCCAAGTGGGAGGCCATCGCAGCTCCGAAGTCTGCATTTGCCTGGCCGTGAACGGCGTCCAGGATGGGCAGTGGCCCGGCCCCGGCCCCGGCAGGCCTGTCGACTGCTTCTGTCTGAACTTGAAGCACTGACACCTGCAGCCAGACTGGGAAGCTGGCTGATGCGAGGTGTGGGTGTGTCTCGTCGTGACGGTCTTTCTGGTAGTTCCCTTGCCGTCCTTGTCGGTGCTGCTCCACATGCAAGCAATCACGAAAGTAAGTACAGGTCTAAAGCTGCTTGTTTACGAGCAACAGCCGCTTGATGCAGCAGGGCGGCATTCTCCACTCTCTGGGTGGATTCCAGATGTTCCATCCCATCTGAAGAAGACGTCTTGACGTCGAAGTTTCCGGCCGCGTCCTTGCCCAAAGAAGCTCGGATTGCCTCTGCATGGCGTCTCCACTGATCCGGGCTTCCGTGGTGGTAGGATCTGGCTAGGTGCTCGATGAGATCTCGGTACTCTGCTGAGGCATCGCCGAACACATCCTTGAAGATTTTGGTTGCATGCTCCATGGAGAAATCCCGCTGATTTCTTGCATCTTCTCGGTCATGGCCTTCTCTGATAGCTTTGGCCGGAACAAATGAGATTGGTACTGTAACGAAAAGCCAAAACCGGATTCAGCAAAACCGCCACTTGAGGGCTTCGCGTCTGCTGCAACTATTACGAGCCACTACTCAGCAGAGCATTCCCGAATGTGCTTCTTGATGGTTACTGCAGCTGCCCAACTCCGGCCCCGGCACTCTGGCAGAGTCGCAGACCGTCCAGCGACTAGTGAGAATCACTTGGTGTTCGGACAAACGAAGCAGAACATGCTCCTAAATGTCCTGATTAGAGGAGAAAGTTCTAGCTTTTTGCCGACTCTGTTCGTTTTCGTCGTTGCTCTTGCCTGGTCTTAGGATGTCTTAGGGCTTCAATTGCATCTGGGAGGCTTGGCTGGCCAGGCTGAGGGCGCGGGCGCGGGTCGTCAAAAGCACGTCGCCGCCCGGCGTCGCTGAGGACTTCGTAAGCCCAGGCGATCTGAATGAAGCGCTGCTCTGCCTCCTCTCGACTCGGAAGCTGAACAAAAAAGGAGTCTTCTTCCGCACCGGGTTCAGCAAGACCAGGCGAGGATGGGATTACATTGCTTATGGGCCGCTCCACAGGAGAACGAACGCTGGATTTTCTTGCAAACCGTCGCCTCTTTTTGGGCTTCTGGAACTTTGTCCGGATGCCACTTGAGCGCTGCTTTGCGGTACGCCTGTTTCAATCCTCGGCCCCGAGCTCAACCCGGCTACCGCCCGCTCTCCCCTACAACCTTAGAAAACCTGAAGCCCTGGCCCCACACTCTCAGCACCTTTTGCATCCTGGTCCTAGTCGCTGTTGATGGACGAGAAAGGGGGCGAACCGCTCTGCCAAGGCCTAAACCCTTTCTCGAACCCATCCTGAACCCTACAGGCCCTGAACTTTAACCCAAAGCTTCCTCGGCTAGGCCAGCCTAAAGCCAGCCGAGTATCCTGCGAGCTGCCCACGCGGAAGCCCAAGGATCTCGTAGGGATCCTGGGCCCAGGCGTCCCGGGCTCAGTGTTGATACTTTTAACTGTTATGTTTCTGTTGTAAGACTACTATATTATCGGCGGCGCCCTGAAGTTGTTTTGACCAACGCTGCGGTTGCAAGATTCAGGTTCTTTCCCGTACAGTTTTCATTTTGCGTTTCCGCGAACCAACCCCCTTCGCATCCGCTCCGGTTGCAAGTTCCAAGCCCATTCCTTTCCTGGTTCTGTGCGCATTCCCGGTGCCCAGCGGCCCGCCCTGTCCTGAACTGCCTTGCATGCCCCAACCAATAGTTTTTGTAGTGTCGCAATCTGATCAAGCCTACTTGACCCCCCCGTCACTTCCGCCGGCCTATTTGGACAATATTCTTTTCTTTCCGATGGTGCAAAGTCCTCGCGAGAACGTACCACAAGCACATGAATTCAGGTGAAACGACAGGTGAGGGAGGACAAGCCCGGCGACAAGCGACAAGACTGTTCAAGCCACTCGGCGAGCTGACCTGCAACCTCACGAGAGTACGGGAACGTGACCGAACAAGGCCGTCCCAGGCTGGCGAGAGCAACGGCAAGCGAAGTCCAAGACAGCAGGGAAGAAAGCCAAGGTAGGAAACCCCGCAACGCACGCAAAGGGCATGATGCAGACTCCCACAGACGACGGAGTGGAACTGGAGCCAGAGGCACTAGAAGTACCAGCGCAGAAACCTGCTCCGTCGAAGGAGGCGCATCAGAAAATGCCAAAATGTGGTGGGCATGCGACGGCCACGGGAGCTCACTGCCAGGGGGAAGCACACAGGTGCCGACAAGCAGGATCCACCCTGAGGCACAGGGAGCAAGGGGCCCAAAAGGTGTCAGTTGCGGCACAAAGGAGGCCGATGCAGAAGACCGATCTCGCGGCACTCGAGACGCCAGGTCACAGTGAAGGTCAACCTGCATGCACAAGAGAACATCCTCCGCCTGTTCACGCTGTGACGAGATGGGAAGCGCGGCAATCCACCACTGCAAGGTATTTCGCAGCACCTGGAAGGGCTCAATCGTGTCCCGAACCAACGCGAAAATTTCTGTGCCAGCCTGAGGACATTCAGAGCGGAGGCGGTCAAGCAAAGCAACAGCAATCACAGGTCGAGTAGCGGGCAAATGGTCCAAACCAATGCCTGCAGAGCGGACGCTTTGAGCATGCCTAGGCGAAGAGAGGTCAGGCTCCAGGAGACCCTCAAAGTTCCATTCGACCGCTTGACAACAGCGCACTGAGGTCTTCAAACGCCACCGATGTCGGGTGACATCTACAAAGCCTGCCCCACATGCACGACAGCGGATGCCGACAGCAAAACGCCGGGCACGTGAACGGAACCCGTGCGCACGCACCGCATGGGCGGACCACGAGTGCTCGTCAAAGAAGGCAATGCCACACACAAGACATGCGTTATCAGCAGTCTCGAGCTCAACGGGAGGGGGAGGCATTGCCGCCCAGGTGTCGACACAAAAACGCTCAAAAGCCGAACGAGCGCGCAGCTGGGAGACATGCCAGGCAGAGGCACGTCGCAGAATGCCTTTGAGACGGCCAGGAGCATCGAAGAGGGAAGTCCAGGAAGCCCAGTCGCCCCGCAACGGCCCCAGGCAGGTAGTAGAAGACACAGCTTCCAACAGCCATGCTGCTGCATCCTCAAAAGCAGCAACTGCACGAGTGGAGTGCTGTATAAGCGCAAAGGCCTCGTCCGGTCCGGAGCGCCAAAGTTGAGCCAGGAACCGCAGCCTGTCAATAGCCAAAAGACCACGGAGACAAGGGAGGCCGACCGCCGACAGGACACGGGCTTCCGACCAGCGCTGGTCCGCCTCGCGCGGGATGCGCAACATAGCACGCAGCATACAGAAGTAGCACGCCTCAAGCACACGCCAGCCGGTTCGGCAGAAGGACGGCCAAGCCCCAGCGCCCGAGAAAACCGCTGACAGAACATGAATACGAAACAACAGCACCCGCCTCTCCAGGGAGATCCTAGGAGAGCAAAACACGGAACGCTTGCCTTCACGGAAAAGCTGCCAACCGTATTGTACGCGGGCCCTGGCCTCCGGAACGAGTGAGCCGGTATGCACAAGAATCGAGCCAAGGTGACGATAGCTAGCAACAGCATCCATGGTTACCGACTCCGACGTCTCACAGAGCACTGTGAGCTTGCCGCGGCCAACAGTAAAAGTGGCTTCCCGCATAGCTCTCGCACCGCCACCCGCTGGCGCGAGCAGCGCTGCCGTCTTTTTGGGCGCCACATTCGCGCGCAATGCGTGATTGCGCAGGGTGTCAATGGAGCAGCCGGCCACATGCCGTACTGCGCCAGGCAAAGCACAGGCCTTATCTGTCCAGAGACAAGTCGCCAAGTCATCTGCAAAAATAATGTCCTGAACTGCGATGGAGGAAGCCTGACGTGAGCCACCGGATGCCGGGAACGGCTCGCGGCGACCTGACCACTGAAGCCTTGGTTGGAGGCCTAGAGCCTGAAAGTTTCCGCGCCTCTCCAACACGCGCGCGAAGAGCAGACTGAATAAAGAGTCGGCCCATGAAGAGCCGGGCCGAGTGCCTCGGCGTGTCATAATCATCTGCGAATCTTGGTTCATAACGAACCAAGTCTGTGAGTGAAGCTCTCGTGCAATCGACCGAAGAAGGTCCCCCCCTTCAGGGCCATTGAGCACGGGTTCTTCCGACGTGTAGAACTGCAGGACCTGGAGGTCGTCCACCGAAAGATGCAAGGAGGCTGCAATCTCGGGAATGGAAGCCTGTTGAGCCTCACAGCCAGTCAAAGTTTCACGTACCACCGCGTAGTACGCGGCAGCCAGGTCGCAGAAGAGAATCGCACATGAGCGAGACTGTGCTCTCATGCTGTCTAGAAACAGCCGAGAGCAATAGAAACCCATCGCATGACTCAGTCCTTTTCTGCCCCCGAGCTGAAGGGGCTGAGCACGCTGCTCCAAAAGCCGCGTAGAGAGCGGTCGCAGCACCTTGTGCATGACCTTTTCAAGTGTATTCTGTACCAGGATACCCCGCTCCGCATCGCAGACGCCCTTGATGGCAGCCCCCGGTTTGGGGATGTGGTAGAGCGTGCCACCTTTATACCCAGCCGGCTCAGAGCCGAAGCAGAGCATCTTCATCAACACCGGCCAGAACAAAATGGACAGAGGCGTCGAAAAGCGGCGACACATTGCTGGCGGAAGACCATCTGGCCCCGTGGCTTTCATGGGGCTGACCGATCGAAAAACATCACGAAGCTGATCAAGGTCAGGAATTTCCGCGCAGGACAAGTGCTCGTGCGCAGGGGCACGTGCCTGCCGACGCAAGCAGTCACGGGCCAACTGAGCAGGAGAGACCGAGACACCTCCTTCAAGGTCAGCGAAATGCCTGCGCCACTCGTCTTGAATGTCCTCAGAGGTCGCGCAAGTGGAGCCGTCTTTGCGCTTGAGCAGTGGAAGCGGCATCGGGCCGCCTCTGCGAAATTTGCGCGGTTTCAACAGCCGCCGAAGGGCTGTTTGTGTGTCTCCCGGTAAAGCAGCCTCAACACCATCTGCGAGCTGCTCTAGGTAGGCGCGCTTATCCTGCCTGCAGCGCTTGCGCAATTCCTTTCCAGCCGCCCGAATGCTAGTGGCAACGAAATCAATGGCCTCATGCAGCTGACTCAACCAAGAACCAGAATACAACTGCTCGAAGCTCGCCTGCCCAGACCGCCACGCGAGAAAAGCACACCGTAACCGAGCCTGGTCAAGAGCAACCATGCGGTTTCTGATTGAGTGCCGTAGACGAGCCAAAGACGCATGCACGGCGGCGGTGCCGTCGGACAAGAAGGATGCCCTCATGCGACGACCACGCAAGGGAAACTCCCGTGCAAACTCAGTGAAAAGATATTCGTTGAGCACCGCAGCATGATCATTGATGTTGACGTCCCAGCCTATTGAGGGCGCGTGTTCCAAGATTTCCTGTATCTTGGCGGAATTGGCAACATTGA